CTCAGACAAGTCACCGTGTAGTAAGAAATTTTGTATGTCTAACTGTTGTAACGGCCATCCCTTGGAGACAACAAGGCTGAGTATAACATGAATAGTCGTGGGCTTGATGACTGGGCTAAATGTTTCTTGAAAATCGAGACCCTCTCTTTGATGAAAGCCCTTGGCGATAAGCCAGGCTTTGTAGCCTTCAACAATGCCACCCGGTTGATACTTCACATGGAAGACCCATTTACAGCCCAAAATATTTTGATCTTCACTCTTGGGCTGTAAAATCCAGGTGTCATTCTTCATTAAGGCAAGGAACTAGTCCTCCAATGCTCTGTGCCAGTTGGGGTCTTTATTGGCTTGGGTGAAAGTAGTGGGTTTCAACACTATGAGATAAGATGGGGTATTTGGTGGAGGTATGGGCTTGGCGATAGTCATACTCAAGGAGCTTAAGACTGGGTTTGTGGATACCAGATTTGGATTTGGTGGTCATATGATGAGTGTTAAGAGTGGGGGGAGCAGTGGGTGGTAGGGGAGGTGGTTGTAAATTGAAGTTGGGCTCATTATGGGCAGGGAAAGAGGTAGTATCAGGAGGTTCAAGTGCTGGACTAGGTTCAAACGGGAGTGGAGGGCTGGTAGGCGAGTTAAGAGGTAAGTCCTCGTAAAGTGGGAGGAGGTCCTATGGTGGAAGAAGCATTACGAAGGGAGGCACTACAAGGCGATATAGACTGTTGAACGAATGGAAATGAAGTTTCATTGAAGCGAACGTCCTTGGAGATGTAACACCTGTTGGTTGGAACATGCAAGCAAATATATCCTTTGTGTGTGTTACTATAGCCAAGGAACACATAGAAGGCAACATGGAATTTCAATTTATTGGTAACATAGGCCCTGGTGTGAGGAAAGCATTCACACCCGAACACCCACAATCATAGATAATCTAGTGTCTTGTTCAAAAGTGCCTCAAGAGGAGTGTGATTGTTTAGAGCCCGTGTAGGTGTTCGATTCATTAAGTGAACAACAGTGATGAATGCTTCCCACCAATATTCCGGTGAGGACAAGACATTTGATGAATAACACCCAATTGAACTAGTGGGGACTGCAACTTGCAGAATTCACCGCCACCATCAAATTGTAACCACTTAAGAGGATCACCCAATTGACGTTCAACCAAGGTTTTTAAAACTGACCTAGACAACGAACCAGTCAGGGGTCCGATTCCCAGGTCGAATGGTCCAACCGTTCAAACCGAATAGTCAACCTGTTCTGACAAAAAAATTAAAAAACAATCAAAACCGTTGAATGGTTCAAACAGTTCAACCACCCGGGTCAATGGTTTGTTGACCAAATCAACGTTTTTTTTGGCAAAAATCCAATTTTGGAGAAAAACTGGGAACCGGTCACTGGACTGGTTCCTAGTTTTTCCGGTCCAACTGTCCAGTTTAGTCCAATTTTGAAAACCATGCATTCAACCATAGTTTTAAAGTGGACAAAGATAATCAAAGTATCACTCTTGGCATGCATTGGGTAAAGCCATGTGAATTTGGAAAAGACATCTATAAAAGCTATGGAATAATGATAACCATGAACTAAGGATGTGGGTGCAGGGATCCAAACATCTGTTACAACTAATTCAAGAGGAGAAGATACATTATTATCAAATGGCAACCAATGACTCTTTCCATAAACACAGGAAGAAAAGAGATAAGACGCCTTATTGGAGCTAACTAGGAGATGATTATGCTACACAATATAACAAACTATGGAAGAAGATGGATGGAAAAGTCACAAATGCCAGGTATCAATTGAGACATGAGCACCAACTAGAGCGGAATGAGAATAGTTGTCAAAGGAAGATAATATAGTCCATTTTTAGTCACTCCTCAAAGAAGTACTTGATGGGTTTTGGAATCCTTCACCAAAAAACAATCAAGGTGAAACTCAAAATAGCAGGCATTATTCTTAGTGAACTTGGAGACAAAAAGTAAATGATTGTGAATGTCCAGGACATGTAAAATATCCTTGAGTAGCAAAGGATGAGAAGAGAGTAAATAAGAGGTACCAATGTGATGAATGTGCAAACTTGTGCCATCACCGGTGATCTTATTAGAGCCCCGATAATCATCATGGATGTTGAGGCGAGACAAGTCTTGAGTCAGATGGTCAGTCTCGCCTGAATCAGGAAGCCAAGCATCCTCCAAAGAAGGAGATGAGGCAGCATTGCAGGCATGCTTCTGATTGTGCAAGTACTCAATAGAGGCTTTTAATTTACAACAGTTCTTGGTGGCATGACAACAAATCTGACACGGGCCCTTGTTGTTGTTGGGTTTAGGTGCTGAAGAGGGAGGAGCTGATTAGAATTTGTTGTCATGTACAGGTTTAGCATCAGAGGATGCGACATTGGCACTTTGAATGACATCAATGAGGGAGTGGCAGGTGAGCTAAGTCTTCTACTGAAGTAAGAGACCCTAGAGTTCCTCAAAGGAGATATCAGTGGATTGAATAATGAGAGCAGTAACCAAAGAATCATATTCAAAAGAAAGACGTTTGATGGTATGATGAATAAGCTAAGAGTTAGAGAACGGTTTACCGAGAGCGGACAAACGATCGTTGTAACTCTTGATCTCATGAAGGTAATCAGTCATGGGCATGTCCCCTTTTCGCAGTGAGGCAAGGTCATCATGAATGTGAACAAGTAGACTTGGCAGCAAAGGTATTCTCCAGAGTGATCCAGATCTAACTACAAGTGGTGCATCTAACTACGTAAAACAAGACGAAGTCCATTAGAGTGGCAAGAAGCCAACTGACTAGTAAATGGTCTTGTTTCAGCCACGATACTTGATATGGGGTGAGATCACTTGAAGTGGAGTCAGTGCCCAGGTATGGGGTGGTGCCGTCTGCATATCCTAGTATTTCATGACTCAAAAGAGCTCGTTCAACCTGAAGCCTCCACAGATGATAGTTCGGTCTAGCGAGTTCAACCGTTATCAATTAAGAGAGATTGAGGTTGTATGGACTGGGAAGAGAGAGAGAGTAGTCATAGTGGTTGCAAAGGGAGAGGTGGATGTGGATGAGATAGAGGAGGTCGACATTGATCAATACTAGAGAGAAGGACGTGAGTCTTAGGTCTCTGATACCATGAAACACAGGAACAATTTGAGGAGAGTAATTCACCTTAGTAAGTTTATTAAGTAGCTTGTATATTTATAGTTACAATAGAAGAGACGTGTGATAAAGAAGATTACGAGGATAAGTACAATACTGTTACACTAGTGGTAAGGATAGGGATGTTTAAGAGATATCCTTATCGTACTGATTTTTAGGAGGTCTATTAGTGTGTAACAAAACACACAATGAAAATGGAATTTATTGCATGCAAAAAAACTGCAACTAAAGCAATGTGGATCCACAAGTTTAATGAAAATTTCAAGGTGGAAGGTGCACCTACAAGACCAGTCATGGACAAAAATAAAATATTGATCAAGCTGCAATTCAGATCATCAAAATAAAGAGATTGGGCTGACTGAAAAGCATGTGCTACTACATCATTATGTTCTTGATGTATATCAAAAATATGAATTGAATACGTGCCGGCAAAATAGTTTCCAAACCGTTGACCAAGCCCAATTCAATTGATGGACAATTTTAAAATGGCATGTGAGGTCAACAAGACTATTAGGCAGCTAGTAAATCTTGTGCCAATACAGCCAAGTGGGAGATGTTGGACCGACTGGCATTTGGCCCTCAATATCATCCTCGATGTATAGGACTATTTGTAGGCCAATAGGAATAACCACACGATCGATAGAGTATTTGCTCTATATGGACTAACATGCACACACAATCAATACCTTTTTTCTAATTATTATTATTATTTATTTTCTTATAAAATAAAATTTGTTTCGACTTATCTCTTTTAAACTTGGTCCACCAAAGTAGTTATTGGTTGAGAAAACATCTCAACAAGTAGGGACAAGTGTCTCATCCCAATGGAGGCTAATCCCAACTGTTTAGAGAGATTTGTGGACAGTTCCTATCCACCGGAACAAACCCAACAGTCATAAAAGGGTCTATAAATAGAACCCAAAATAGTGAGAAGTATATTTGAGCTACTTGGAACATATTTCCTTCTCAGCATAACACTCTCTCTTAATCTCTCTTATTTGGATTATTATCAATTTTTAGTTGTGGTAGAACATTACCTCCACTTTAAGTTGTTGAAGAAGTTTGGGCCACCTGTTCAAACTTGGCACACGTTCCTGAAATATCACCAACACCACCACACAAGTCTTTCACCTTTCACTTCTCTTGTTGTGTGCTTGTTTCAGGCCACAAGACCCCCAAACCCTTTTATCTCCTACTAAAGCAGAGTGGCCAAGGTCATCCAGGTTGCAGAACTAGAAAGGTGGTGTTTACACTGTTACGGCTCTCAGCCTCTCACTATCATAATGCCTGTTACCGTCAGTTGCCTGCCATGAGATTCACTTTGTTAAGAACTACTGACCGCACCATTGGTTGATCCTAAAGTCGATCTGAAAGGATAATCCATCGTCCCTTGTTTTTACGAAGAAATAATCCATACATCCACTGTTCCATTAACTAACACCCATAGTAACTAGTGACCTGGGGATGTGGAAAGAATCAGTGGGTGGGAGATCTGGAGTAAATTCGACAACCCAATTTCACCTCATTGCTACATTAACCAAATAACCACCCACAAATAACAAAATGTAAACGTAGAGTAAACTCAAAGACAGCATCCGAGAGTAACAGAGCAATCGCTTCGTCAAGCGTTCCGTCAGTCTAGGGCAATAATTCAATTGGTGGATGGTGGACTTTAGACTAGAACTAGAAGCCATATGGAATGAAATCATCTATCATTCAACTTCAGTTTTATAGAGGCTACAAAATTCATATTCTTTGGGGCAGAGAGAACTGCATCGTTTCAAAACTGGCCATATACAGATACATTTAATTTAATGTAACCATGTCACTACAAGTTGGAAAGGAAAATGTGGAAATACTGAATTGAATGACCTTCATTCATGAATAAAAAATCCAGGGTACACAAAAAAAGCACATCGAAATTCCGTATGGGATATGCACAGCATTTATATTATTATATGGCCATTACGAAGGCATCTAATCAATCTAAAGCAACAAGTCTGCAAAACTGTTAAAACAATCATTTACCTAGCAAGTTTTTTTAGGAATTGAACATGTGTTTTTTCCTTATCTACATACCAATTCATCTCATAATCAGCTGTACATGCTACAGAGAAGTTTAGTGACACGCACGTCAATGGGGATCATTCACAATTGTTGGTCAAGATATGGGTCCCTTGGAGATCTTTCTCCAGCTCCCAAATATCCTGTCACACTCTCTGAAACAACGGAAACCCAACCATTCAACCATGAGGTGCTACGAGTCAGCCATCCAGTCTGAGCTTCGTTGTTTTCTTCGAGCCTGCTCTTTTGTTCTTCCTCCAGCAGGATATCAATCCACCTCTTCGCCATGAACTCTTTGACAGCTTCGACTCCTCCGGCCACAACCTCCATCGGAGGAAGGACAAGTGGATTTTGGTCCAAGTTTAGCTTGGTTAGCTTGTCCAGTCGACCAATGGTGTCTGGAAGGGCATGGATTTGATTGTTGCTCAGGTCAAGTTCCCTAAGATTCGTCAGATCACCAAGTGTGTCAGGAAGCTCTATCAAGTCACTAAAATTGCTACTCAGATTTAGGACCTCCAGATTTGTCAACTTCCCAATAGCATGTGGCAGGCCACGGAGCTCATTGAAGTGGACATCCAAATGACGCAAAGTCGTCATCTCACAAATGGAAGTCGGTAGGGAACGGATCTTATTGAGGTGGCATGAGAGCCTTCTTAGATTAACTAGTTCATACCCAATGTTTGTTGGTAAATATGTCAGATCGTTGAAGCTTGCATCCAGTTCTTCCAGTGATCTGCACCGAAATTCTCCTCAAATGAGAGACATGGTTTAAAAGCTTTTCATAATAATGTTCAAAATGACAGAGCATGTCTGCAAAAAACACAGAAAACAATGAACTACCTGCAATGGCAAATGCTATCAGGTAGTGCCTTCAACTTATTTCCTGATACATCTAGGATCTTCAAATTAAGTAACAAACCAATGGAATCTGGCAAGGACTCCAAAAGGTTGGAAGAAAGATTAAGCTCCTCCAGATTTTCAAGCCCAGCTATTGAATCAGGAATAACCTGGTTCCTCGGACAAATATCCCAGATAAGAGAAAAAAAAAACAAGGGAAAACAAGTTAGTTGCTCCAAACATGTAATAATCACAAAATATGAAAACGTGCATACTCTGAGCTTAAAAGAAAAATGTAATTTTATAGCATTGAGGTGGTAGATTACTTCCTTACTCTTCATCTCTGAAGTACAATAGAACTGTCTTGAGCTCAAAAAGTAAATTTCTTTGACATTGAAACTAGAGTACTGAGATCCAGTAGAAGTGGTACTAAAGAAGTCAAATAAGTAGTTTTGCTGAAATAAAACTGAAAACTAAACAAGATAGTAATATCTTCATTTCCTTTATAGCAAATAAGAATAGTAAGCAGCATGATGCAAAGTAGTTGTTTGCTCTAAAATATTGAGTTTTATGCAGGTCCAGCCTTCTTCATGTCTCGAGAACTATTTTTAATATACAGTGAGAAGACATTTTACCTGCAAATGGGAGGCAGATCTTGGATGGTTCTTTGGTAGCAAACGAATGTATTGACTCGAGGATCAAAGCTGATTTACCAGGTATTATTTGCAAACTAGACATGGAAAAAGCTTATGATACATCCAACGGAGGTTTGTGCAATATCTCATAAGAAGAATGGGTTTCATGTCAAATGGAGAAAGTGGATCTCTCCATCCAGGTAAATGGTATTCCCAGAGGCTTTTTTGCTGTACAGAGAGGATTGAGGCAAGGTGATCCCATCTCCCCTTTCCTCTTCATCATTGTAGTGGAAACTCTTAGCAAACTAGTAAGTAGAGCTCCAGATCACAAAAGTTTTAAGGTTGCAACAAACAGTGAAACTTGCCTTTCTTGAGATGTTTGCTGATTTGTTTTGAAGCTGCTTCAGGCTCAAAGATCAACCTCCAAAAAAGTTATTTGATTCCTGTCAGTGAGGTCCCAAACATTGAAAGCCTTGCAGAAGTCTTAGGATGCAGGGTCAGATTCCTCCCTTCCAAGTTTGTAGAGCTGCCTTTGGGAGCAAACTACATATCAAAAGAGATCTGGGATCTGGTGGTTGAGAGGATCCAGAAAAACCTAGCAGGTTGGAAAAAGCCTTATCTTTCAAAGTGTAGGAAGATACAAATTCAGAGTGTTCTTTCAATTTTGCCTAGATATTTTATGTCATTCTTTATGGCTCCTGCTTCAGTTCTAGCTTCCTTGGAAAAGGTTCAAAGAGATTTTCTTTGGGATGGGAGAGAGGAAGAGAAGAAGTTTCATTTGATTGCCTGGACAAGTCTGTAAGCCGAAAAAGTGGTTTAGGTGTAAGACCATTGAACCAGATCAACAGAGCTCTTCTTTCAAAGTGGCCATGGAGGTTTGCTCTTGAAAAGCAGGTTTTCTGGAGATCTATTATAAGTTGTAAGTATAGGAAACTGATTTGGGGTGTGAAACAAATCTTGTAAAGAAGTCCTATGGCACAAGTTTGTGGAAAGGAATCATGCAAAACAGGGAGGAGTTTGAGAAAGTCCTCTTCTGGGAAGATAGGTGGTGCAGCACTCTACCCCTAAGCCAAGCTTTCCCAGGTATCTATGCCTTGGAAGGCAATAAATCTGCCCTACGGTTGGAAGAGAATAAATTAGCTTGTTATGAAACTTTGGGTGGGCAACAGGTTTGGATCCCTCGATTGTGCCTCCCTTCTTCAGAACCTTAACTCTACCTGATGTTCAATATTTCCCTGTAAAAGAGGTCTGTAGTAAGACTATCCCCCCTAGGATTAGAAGTTTTTGTTGGAACTTCCTAGAAAGAATCAATTCATGTGAATTGTTTCAAAGAAAGAGACCTGAAAGTTGTTTATCCCCTCACTAGTGTGTTCTCCGTAATGCCGATGGTGAGAATTGCCATCACTTATTAATCTTCTACACTTTCGTTAAAGGTATTTGGAAATGGTTTCTCTCTTTGTTTGGGTGTAGGTGGTCCCCCCTGCCGAATGTGCAAAGCTTGTTTGACTCTACAACTTTCAGTTGGCCAAAGAACAGGGAAAGGATAATGTGGAGATGTGTGAGGGCTGCTATAATTTGGACCATAAGAAAGGAACTCAAGATTATTTTCAGATAAGGAGAGAAGCAGAGAAGCTATCATAGAAGTGGTTTTCAACAGGGTGGTACACCGGATCAAGTCCTTGGAACTTTTTAAAGATTTTCCAATGGAAGTTTTCTTAAGAAGATGGAAGGAAGTTACTTCTTCAGTCTTGGTCAAGGATGCCTTAATTCCTGTTTGGACCCCCCCCCCCCAACTAGTGGGTTTGCTAAGCTGAATTTTGACAGAAGCAGTGCTAGAAATCCAGGACCATCAAAAATTGGGCGTGTTTTTAGGGATGAGGAAGGAAATATAATTGCTTTCTTTTCAATTCCAATTTGAAAGGGAAATTCCCTACGGGCTGAGATATTGGCAGCTTTAGAAGGGGTAAAAAGGGCAAAGGATATGAACATTAGAAAGTTGTTTATTGAGCAAAATTCCAAGTTGGTGGTGGGCTGGCTAAAGGAAGAGAGTGGTTTTTGGAATTACAACAAAGAAAGGAAAAGGTTCAAGTGGTTAACATAAGACATTGCTTTTGAGGAAAAAAGTTAACTATAAAGGAGAGGTACACGAGGCATTGTACACGACAGATAAAACTCTCAGAAAATTACGAAGGCATAGAGCTATCACTAAAGAGAAAATCCCTGTGACCACCAGATTTAGCTAGACTATCAGCTTCAGAGTTTAGCTCCCTCGGAACACAGACCACCTGGGCACTTAAAGAAGCAAGAATGTCTCTCGCTTCAGCTAGGTAGTGAGCTAAGGCCCACGGCCCACTGTCAGGACTAGAAAGCCAGTGTTGGCTGAATCTCCTTTAATGGTAAGTTTTCGTAAGCCCATGTCTTTTGCAATCCTGATGCCGGTTAGAGCTGCCAAGACTTCTACCTTTGTTGAGGAGGCAATTCCAATCGGCCCACTAAAAGCCCAATTGATACCATTTTTATTTCGAATTACACCTCGAATGCCCACTGTACCTGGGTTTCCAAAAGCATTCCCATCAAAATACAAGGTCGTCTCGCCATCCACATCAGATCTGAAGCTACGGGTAGTGTTGAGCTGTATTTGTTTAGAGTGAAGGAAATTTACAATGTTTCTTTGGAGGTCATCAAAGGGGACACCTCTGAAATGGGATGAGCTGGAAGTCCATAGGAAGCATCTGTAACATATTAGAGAAATCAGCTCCTCAAAGTTTTTTGTTCTGTTGGTAAATACCCTATTGTTTCTCTCTTCCCAAATGCTCCAGAAAATAGCATGAGCAACAGATTGCAATAAGATTTTCCCTCTTTTGCTTAATCCTCTTCCTGACCATTGCCTTAAGCAATCAGCCACATTTTCAGGGAAAACCCAGCTGTATTCAAACAAAGATAAAAGAAGTTCCAGCATTTTCTAGTTTCCTCACAGTGGAGCAGAATACGGTTGGTGGATTCCCCATCTTAAAGCAGAAGCAACAGCCATGTGGAGATAAATAAGACCTGCCATGGTTCTTTTCCTGAAGGAGGTCATAAGTGTTGATTTTCTTTAAGCTGGCTTCCCACACAAAAAGACATACCCTGGTAGGGATATGAGCACACCAGATTCTCTTGTAGGGGTATTGATCATTAGTTTGTTCTTCCCTAACTAAAGCTTTGAAGCAAGATTTGGTTGAAAACTTACCTGATGGGTGAAAGGTTCAAACACAAAGGTCAGGGAAATTTTGTGTGTGGTAGACCTCTCTGAGGGTGTCCAAGAAGCTAGAGATTTCACTAATTTCTGGGTCCCTTAGAGGTCTCCTAAGGGTTAGATTCCAATTTAAGTAAGGAGGGGAGGGGGGTAAAACCTGGGATATGAAAGCTTCTTGGTTTAAGGTAAGGCTGAATAGGCGAGGGAAGGAGTTGGCTATAGTAGAGTTACCTCACCACAGGTCAGTCCAAAACTTAATTCTATCACCCTTTCCCACTTTGTATCTGATAAAGGATATGAAAAAATTGTAAGTCCAGATTATACCTTTCCAAAGGTGGGTGTCTTTGATACGATTCAAGTGAAGCTTGCTATTCCAACCGTTGGCGTCCTTCCCATATTTGCTAGTGATTACAGCAGCCCAAAGTGCATTTGGCTCTAGAGGGAATCGCCACAACCATTTACTGAGAAGAGCTGTGTTTCTTTCTTTCAAATGACCTACTCCCAAACCTCCATTCTCCTTTGGTTTGCCAACCTGAGACCACTTCACAAGGTGTGAGCCCCTTTCCCCCCCTCCTTCCCAAATAAAGTTTCTCTGAAGTTTTTCTAACTGAATGGCTATCTTGTTGGGCATGCGGAAGATGGAAAGGTAGTAGGTGGGGAGGTTTGCCAAGGATGCTCTAACTAGAGTAAGGTTAACACAAGACATTTAAGTAAAGGTGCTTTGGGTCAAAAGAAGTGTCAATTTCTTTCCTGATGATCTCACAAAGCAAGGGGTGAATGGGGCCTCTATGTTTTGTGCTCAAGCTTTTTACCTTGTTATGGTAGTGATTGAATTTCTATGGGAGAGTTAAGAGAGTTTATCTCTCCCTGGGGCTGGATCTGGAAGTTGTTTAACCATTGTTGTTTATATGGGTTGACAACAGAGAATGTGAATCATACTCTCATCCACTGCAAATTCTCTGCCACAGTTTGGGCCCATTGTTTCATCCTGTTTGGGGTTTCTTGGGCTGTATCTCAAGATATGGAATCACAGATCTAATCCTGGCATTTGGAAGGCCTATCAAAGAGGGGAAAGATCCTTTGGGGCATGGTGCCTGGAGCAATCTGCTAGTCGGTTTGGAAAGAAAGAAATTACAAGGCTTTTACTAATCAAGCTCTGCCAGTTGAGAGGATTTGTGGCAAAGTGGAGGGGTTTCTGGTGAAGTGGGCTACCATCCAGTCTTCAGAGGCTTTAACTTTAGTCACTTCTACAGCGGCTGGGATAGAATCATTTGGGATGAAAACTGTCTTTTGACCTGTT